GCCTGCTCTACACTTACACAGACCTAAAGGACATACTCAGTTTAGATTTAGACTTTACACAAATTATACAAATGTATGACACTTTATTGCATATAATTTAATGATACCATCATCAGTGGAGCTGCAGGAAATAAATAAAGATAAACATTCAGTCCCAAAACAGCCAGAGTCACAGGGGGGATGTTATCAAAACCCACTTGAAACAGCTGAGAGGCCAGCAACAACAAGCCAAGATTGGATCCTCTATGCCTAGGCCTCATCTGTGAACATAAAAAGAAAGATTTTAATCGCAACCATAATTTATATTATTCATTTTTCACATACGGCACATACGGCAAGCCAAGTCAAACGAAACTGAAGGTATAAAACATACGCTCAAAACATATAGGACTAATTTTGTTTTACCTTCATCATAAACCCGAATCAATAAACAATACTAATTTGTTAGCCTACCGTTCATAAATCCTCTTTTGCTCCTTGGTGTTAAGTACCTTAGCTAGCTAGTTACTTATTAACAGGTTATAAACCGCTTTAACCCAATTACAAAGTACAATCAACGTTACTACTTTTTCAGCGTAAGAATTAATGCCCTTTGAAGAAGTGAGTCTGTTATTCGCATCCCAGCAGAATGAATTTCAGTGAATTTCATCATGTCTAGTCCACATCATGGTCCATGACAGAAAAAGGCTGCGTCACGTGACAATAATAAGAGGGACAGCGCATGCGTTCTGAAAGTTCGTTTCATTCTGATCCATAGAACTATTTGATATTTGATTTATTTCTATGCAAATCTCTTGTCTTTTTATGTATCTTTCCAGCTTATATCTTTTATTATTATTTGTGGGGCTGAAGTGATTTAACATATGCGTACAAACACATTTTATGCATTACTCATTGACTGTAGGCCTATATAGTAAAACTTCAGCCACTAAGACAAAGTTCCGCCTACAACAGACAGCCCACTTCATCTTCTTGCGAATATGTTTGCAAGTTTGCAGGGGGTTTTTTTTTCATAGCTTACAGGCCTGTTTGGTTGAGAAAACGTGTGACTGCTGCCTCCATGCGGTCAGAATGAAACACATTGATCAATGTGAAACCATATCCTTCCATGCGTGAAACCCAACAAGAGGGCCTAGTAGATGTCATCTATAAAGAAACTGTTAGTGGGTTTCAACTTCACGTCCTGAGACAGAATTTAGGTCGCTTGCGCCAGGTGTCATTCGTTTCTAAATTAAATATTCATAAAGACACGAGGGTTGAGTTACCGTCTATTCAAACCTGTCCCTGTACTAGTTTAAGACCACTGTCTGTACTTTAGACACCATTGTTTCATTGAGATAAAACATAATTTCTCCAATAAAATATGGTGGCAGGCGGAGAGACTGTTGCTATAGTAACAGCTGTGCTCAAGGAAGAAACGGAGGCGGATTTTGTCAAGTTACAAAACAAATAGGGCTGCATCATGACAAGAATAAAAGAAGGTTAATCAATACTACTGATTTTAATAATGATCTTAACAGTTATATCAGAGCTAAGCTTTTATTTTAAATAAATAGCCTGTTAATGCTGCACAACCCCATAGGCCAATTCTATTTTCTCTCCCAGAGCAAAATAGATATATAGTCTAGTCTACGTCATAATCATCACTTTAATAATGCTTGTATAGGCTTATATTATATGATATATTTAATAGTGATATATAGGTTACATATGAAATAGGGGAGATATGACGATTATTTTATTGTCTTGAATTCAGAAATTAGCCTAAAGAGCTGCCATTATTTTGAAACCGGAAGTTGTTTGTTAAGAGCCATCCAGCTTGATGGTATAGTAGTGGGCAGCCGAGGGGAGCAGAGTCAGGTACAGGTGTGTGTGTGTGTTGTGCTTCTGCCCGGGCTGGATGAATGAATGAAGGAAAAACTACAGAGAGGGAAAGAGAGAAAGAGAGAACCTGGTTGAACAAAACTACCAAGAAGAAAGGCCAGTGTACATAATAAGAAGAAGGAAAACAGGCGAATTTATAAGAGGATGTCGGAAAGGGTAGCTTCGTGTGGGAGCCTGTATGACAGCACCAACCTGCTGCTACAATACTGCAACAACGGTGAGTTATACTCCTTATATGACTGTATCCTTAAATGACCCTAGCTGCTTTGGGCAGGTAATACCCCAAAAGCTCTTGCAGCTTTATATATATATATTGAGAGTATAGAGTTTGCCTCAGATGTTCCAGGTGTTAAAGGTCAGATCTGAGGAGAGGCAACCTTGCTCTCACGAAGAATGCAAATTTCTCAAGCTATTACTGGGCAATAAAGTCACACTTATGTTCAATAAATAAATGCATACATACATATTTTTAATGTTGCACTGGGGCATTCCAGACAAAACAGTGACAGCTAGGTGGAGAAAAGCAGGTGGCTATAGCTAAGTCCCCATGCTTTAAGCAGATCTTTTCCCACTATGTGTTAATTTATGATAGAACATGCTTATGTGCATTTACATAAAAAAAAAAATAAACATTTTACTAGGCCTACCTTTGCCGAGGTTGTTCTATTTTGTGTGCTTTTGCCTTATTACAGTGTTACATCCTGTTTAACAAATCAAATGCAAATATTTTACTGTTGCAAAGACAGATTACATCATGATAAAAAAAAACTCCAAAAGGTCATATGCTCTATGGACAATACTGGTCCTATCGCACAACAGTACATGTATGATGTAATTGTTCAATATTCTGGCTGGTACTGTTTTTTATGCTGAAGATATTAGGTGGCATATACGTTTTTTCTTTGATTTTGCTCTAAGTTTTCATGGTTTATACAAAAGGCTCTGTCCAAGTGCTTTGCATCAGTTTCCGTGTTCTCTGCCATCTGCACTCATGGTAACCAGAGAGTGTCTGTCCATCAGAGTAGCGCGCCTCAGCAGACTTTTACATACACCCTTTATGAGGGAGCAATTTAATAGGATCAGTTAGTAAAGCTGTGTACAAGAACTAAACATGTGAGTACTCTCTGTGCTCATCTGAGTCTCTGTTTGGTAAGATAATAATAATAATAATGTCCAATGTTCATCTTGGTTCTTTTAAAGGAAGTGGTCAGTAAAGCCAATCCAGTAAATTTTGTTTGAGCAGAGCAGACTTAGGAGAAGGGATTTTGTCTATTTTCATATTAAATGACATTAAATTGCATTGATACAAATGTAATATTGAACGATATTTTATTTGGTTTTAATAGGACAAAACAAAATTGAATCAGAACATCAACATCATGATCACTTCAGTGGGAATAAACTTCTTTTGGTCATGACTTGCCCACAATGGGAGTGTGAAGTGGTAGTGGTCTGTCCTTAATGGTGTTAGACTTCAGACCAACCCTGTCACTCTGCCCTCATAGCTGACTTCAGGATTTTGGCCCATTGCATGGGTGTCCCTTGTCCAATTTATAAAAACTTAATGGGAGTTGCTTAACAGCACAGTGGTTGGCAATCTTTCATCAAAGTGGGTTTGACTCCCTTATACATTAGGAATAAAAGACACACAGACAAGACACACATGGCAAGTAGCAAAATTGAATGGCAGATATTGAGTCCCTGAAACTGTAGAATTTCTAGTTTCTCTTTTTTTTTCTCTCATATATTGGCAGCAATTAGACAAATAATGTTAAGGAATCACTGGTCGGACCCAAATATGCAGAAGGAAAAAAGTATTTATTTCACAAAAATAGTCTTGGCGGGGGGATAGATTCCAGGGGAGGCAGGACGGGTCCAGGTTGGCTGCAGATGGGAGGTCTGTGGAGATGGAGGCTGACCGGAGGCTTACAGAAACTGGTGGGTACGGGATGAGGCTGGCTCCAAATGAAGTGCTGGGGATAGGACAAAAGAAACAGGTAAGCATCAAAAAGTCTCTGGAATTCTCAAAAATCTTAAAAAGCCTGAGTAGTTCACCACTAGGATGACGGGACAATCTGGCACTGGAGAGCAGGTCAGCAGGTCTTTTATTGTAGGAGATGATTACTTGATGAAGAACAGGAGTGGAGCTCAGCAGGTGCATGATTGGGGCCCGCCCAGGAAATGCCAAACAAGGTAAGTAGATACAGAGAGAGGGAGCAGGGAAAGGAGGGGTAGGAGGAGCAGGGAGAACCCTCACAAATAAAGGCAGCAATTATAACAAAACATTCTCCCCAGGGTTTTAATGTGTGTAAAACCATGTAGTTTCGAGACCTCTATAAACTTATTCATGAATGCATGTGACTCTTATATTTTAGCAGTGAAAGTCTTATGTCAATAGTAAGGCTCCTGGAGGTGTTTAAAATGAGCAGCATGAATTTCATTTTTATAAAAAAAAATTATAAATTGCTAATCAAATCTCAAAATTGCAATTAGATTTTTTTTTTCAAAAAAACATTTAGCCCCATTCTACATTTAGGGTATATCTTAAGTTCAAGAGCTAATTATCCATGTATGTTATAGATCGATTAACTGTCCTCTCACTTCTCTTCCCGTCAGTGCCTATAGTTGTCCCCACACTGCTGCTGCTGATGCTGATGCAGTGTGTGTGTGTGGTCCAAGCTCCTCCCTCCTTTTCGCTTGTGTCCCTGCCTGCAGCTCACCCGACTGGAGAAAAGGACAAGGCGATGGGGGGAGGAGGCATACAGGATGAAAAGATGGGAGTGGTCCAGGAAGTGAAGACGGAGCTATATTTGTGTGACTAGGAGCGAGAGGAGGGGGGGGAGAGGTAGTGAAGGTGCCGGTATTAGGAAGCCTCTTGGGGGATAGGAGTGTGAACTATAGTGGACTAGAACAGCTCTGTGGTCAGATTGGGCAGACGGACTGACAGGAGGAGTGATCAGGCGATATGGCAGGTAGGCAAGATTTAAGCTAGCTCCACTGCCCCTCGCTGACCTCCTATTGTCCATTAGTATTTCTGTCTGTATCCTTGACATGCAGTCTCACCCCCACCACATCACTCTTGATTTGATTTTTCATTTTCTTTCTCCTCCTCCTCTCTTCCTCCTCCCTTTCTTTTCCATCTGTTTAAGCTACTATGGCCATTGATTAGATTCCACACTGCAACCACTTCACATTGTCACATAAAACTGCTATTTTATGGATCTCTGGTTTATTGTTAAGTGCATGAGTCTAGTAATTAAAATTCATTGGCACTGCTGGAAATACAATGGAAAACCACTGTTGTATTTAATCATGATCCAAGGGCATGTTCAGAGAAGGCGCTGCAGTACTACACAGACAAAGGTGAATCCTGCTAATCTTGTAATGTTGCTTGAATTTTCACATGCCGACAGTTTTTTCTGTTCAGTCCATACAATTAGCACATAGCATTAGCTTACCAGACCAGCATTATCACCTTATTTTATTTATATATTCTATTTATATACTCACGGCTTTAGAGTGGGCAAATACTGTTCAAGTCATGTATATAAAGGAAAGAATGCTGGAATCCTTGGTTTAACACTGCACATGAGCCTTGAGTATCAGCAGACGGGTAGATTTGGCAGTCCTAAAATACCATAGTAGTTCTTCTATTTGTAACCATGTATTCTTATCTTTGTTTCTGTTTCTCATTAATACGGTATGCAGTGCCTAGTGATGACCATGGGAAGTTTAGTCATTGCTCTCTCTCTTTCCTCCCACCTGCAATCTGCACCTCCTGCTGTTCTGGAGGTCTGGTGTACCAGGGCCATACAGAATAAATGTCATGTAGTCTGACTTTAAAATGACTTTCAATTGTGTAACTTTATGCTGTACTGAAAATCCGTAATAGTTATATTTGCATGCAATAAAGAATATGGTAATCAGTTTTATATTATCTGCTCTTTCACACTCTATCAAATTTATACCAGAAAATCATAGTGTTTTACCAATTATCTGTTTTATCACTAAAGCCTGAAGTTGTAAAGATCAGATCAATATGAATCAAAATAGGCATCAAGTTGTTTTTTTTTTCACAACTGATGTGTGAAGCCTGCTGTTTTGACAACAAGTGCATTTGACATCCGTTTCTGGTAATATGCTCTAGATAAACTTCTGTATGTAAATGTCTCGCTTGATTCCACTGTGGCCTCTTGTCTCATTTGACTGTGAGATGTGATACTGTAGTGACAGTATGCCCTTTGTCCTTATAGTCCACATTATCTTCCCTGATTGACTGAGGCATGCTGGGAGCCTAATGGTCCCAAATTTGGTTTACATAATACATTTCTTACTTAATACACACTTTTTGGTTTGTGATGGGTTTTGCTTTTAAAATGGTCTGCCTATAATCTTGTGATTTATGCCACAGTAATCCTCGCTGGGCAGTTTGCCTTCAACAATCTGTGGTCACTTCTGCACTTGGAGGGATGTCATGTTTAAACAGAAATCAGTCAAAATTTTTTGAACTGATAATGGATTTAAGAGGTATAGTCTGAGTATGTGTGTGTGTGTCACTGTTAGGTGTAAATGTCTATAAACATTTTTCAGCAATAACAGTGTTGTTAAAAATATAGTATTCTTGGGCACTAAACATTTCAGATACACAGATGGCAGTGCCTTTCACATCATATTTGCGGTCCTCTACTGCCACTCACTGCCACATTTCAGTGCACAAAATGCAACATGGTGTTTGGTGCTTCCTTCTCATCCTGGCTCACTACTGTGTGTGTAAATTATTAAAACCAACCAATTTAGTACTCTTTGTTCAAGAAATTTAAAACCCAGGCTTTACCTACTAACGTGCAGATCTAGAGAATTAGAACATCTTATATTGTGTTTTTTGCCAGGCGCTCAAAGTTTTAATGCAGTGTTTTAATGTTCTCTTTTACTTAGTATTTACTGTACCTGGCTGTGTTATATATAGGCCTCAATAATTACAATACTGACTTATCATTCTATTTACAAAAGCTGGAACAGCATAGTTTGGGGCTCATCATTTATTACATATACATTTTGCAGTAGTGGGGAGATTTTTTTATGTAATAAAATACAGACATACTACAATTAGATCTGAGTTAGATTTTTTTTTTTTTTTTTTTTACAGCTCGGGCCTTTAAATTATACTGTCTATTTAAAATGGTTTATTGGGATTATTCATTTTTATTGTTATTGTCTCAGTGGCTAGCATAATGTAGTTTCAATATTCCAGTTTATCGCAATATTCTCTCTACCAGTATAACATGCTTCAAAATGTGTTACTATGACAGGCCTAGTTATATAGAGCATACAACACCTCTGATCTGCTGCCTGTAGATGACACGGTGTCAGCCGGCAGTAACATGGACATGGAGGACCGCGTGTCCCACCTGGAGCAGAGGCTGCAGCTGCAGGAGGATGAGATCCAACTGCTGAAGGCCGCTCTGGCCGATGCTCTGCGTCGCCTTGGTTATTGTGAGGAGCACAGTGTGGGCCTGACACAGGGGGGGCGAAGACCACTGTCCACTGCTGCTGCCCCCCCAACTAAAGGTCAGAGAGACTCAGAGGAAGTCACCATAATTACAAGTATAATGCATAAAAAAACTTAACCTGTTTCAGGAGCACTTGTTTCCGCATTTTTTAAAGAGATCAGCAAACCATGCACATTGATTTTGTAGTTATTTCTTGATGATGGTATCTAACAGGCATTCCCTTCTCAGTGCGTCAGCTGCTACAGGCTCTTCCCTCCAGACCACTGAGTAATGGATATGTACAGCAGAAACGCATGCTCTCCTCTCCTTCATCTCCAAAGAAAGAGACAGTGCAGTCTATCAAGAGGTAAACGAGTAATCTAATCTAAACTATTCTTACTTATAATGCAGTCCATGACACATACTTTTGGTTTGTGTGAATAAAATCACTAGAAATTTGTTGTAGTTCTGTCATTGTCTGTGCCTGCTGTGATCTTTGCTCTTTGACACCTTTCAGAAAAAGCCAGTCCACGGAGCGTTTGACCCTGGTAAGGAGAGAGCTGGGTTTAGAGAGTCGCAGTCGAACCACATCATCCAGCAGCTCGTCTGGAGGCAAAAGGTAAAGCTCCCCTGCACAAAGGGTATAATGATGTCTTATAGTAATCACAACAATTATCTATCCAGAAATGATTATTGTTGTTGCACTTTATAAGCTACTTGACTAGTTGACTCTGATGCACAAAAGGTCACTGTATGACCCTTGAGGAAAACATTCCACTTACACAGAAAACTTTATTTGAGTAGCGTTAATCTAAAATGTCAACAAGAATCAGTGGGCTGCGTCTGATGTCAAAGCTGTGCAAACAACATCACCCACCAACAGGGAAGACAGGTATAGGTCTAAAAAAATATATATATTTATTTCATAAGTCTCATGAGTCTGCAATCTGCTTGTCTTGATGGTGATTTATTTATTTATTTATTTATTTTTTTTGCTTTGCCTGAAATATTTCTCAGTATGACATTAAATCTGTATAATTCCATGGAAAAAAGCAAGTGGAAAAGCAGTTCTGCTCACAGTAAGACATTTTCAAGGTGTTCTTCTTAACAGTCATAATGCCTGTAGTTGAATAAATGCAAGACAGGACAAGTAATGGCACACTGCCAACAGTCAAGGCAATGACATCTCCATGAAGATGACCAAATTCCCCACCAGAAAAGTTACATATTGCACCTTTAACTTCATACAAGTCTTTATGTGCACATACTCCCCTACTGCTCCTGTCAGCGGCTAATGTGGATAGTATTACTTATGCAAACAGTGGAGAGGGGGTGGGGCTTTTGTCAGAGGGGCTGGTCTTCAAGAGGAAGTGCATTCTGGTTGGCTGTAGTCGTTCTCAGGCAGAGCTAAAAGTTGGCTCAGATGTAGGGAAGTGGGTTGTTGTGTGTTGCACAGAAGAGGAGTCACTCTGACACTGTTATTCACTAAATAACGGAAAACTTGCAGTCATGAAGAAGTCCTCCAGGTAAATGCAACTTCACCATAATGTTTTTTAACAGTGCACTATGACTGTAGTAGTCTGAGTGAAGTATAGGCTGATGGTGTGCTAAAACTGGACATAACTTTGCTAAGTTGTGATCTATGTTTGGTTTTGCTAAACAGACAGACAGTATTGGTAACATAATTTCAAGTAGGTCCTTGTTTCATTCATTAATTTCAACCAGGACACTGCCGATCTAAACGTTTTGTAACAAATTGATTTTTGATTTGTTGTAAAAGTGGCCTATTCCATTGTAAACATTTGAATTTTGTATATCTGAGGAAGCGGCCTTTTGTCTGTCACACGACAGGTCTGATGCAGTGGTTACAGGCTGCAGGGCAATGGGGAGGGGCACCAGCATAGTGACATGAACACAGAAACGTAATCCAGCACACTCTGATCTCTTAGATGCAAGAGAAGAATAAAAAAAGTCTTAAGTAGAATGAATACATGTACAATTCATTACTGCCTTTTATATGTCTCAAAAGAGGAAAAGAAATGATAACATTGTTTAACTTGTTAGGTGTAACTTAACCCTAATTTAGAATGCTCGTTGTTAGTTTTGCTTACTTAATTGTTGTGCCTAACATGAGCATTACAAGTTAGTTAATTTCCACAAAATGAAACAAGTATATTGAGAAGCTTTAATTCCTGAGTCTTTTTGCTTTGCAGAGGGCTTATGGGAGTCTGCTGGCTGTTCTGCTTACTGTGCAGTAACATTGATCAGACGCCTGCTTTACATGCATCAAACATGAACGGCTTGTTCCAGACTGCAGACCCCCAGTTTAACTCATTCATGTCTGTTAAGCAACACAGAAATCAAGCCGTTATTGCTTCATATGGTTACTTTCAAAAACTCAAATATGTTAGTTTTAACTAAGTTCATTTAAATTCACATGGCAATGAGCTCTTCTGTTCTCCTGTATTGTAGACCGTAATGGATTAGTTTAGACATGGTCTTTTCCCATTCACTTCATCCATTATGGATCAGGATATGGGCCCAGCACTTGGAAAATGCTTTGGTTTACAATCTAACCATTAAAGCACAGTAGAATATTCATCTTAAGACACTTGGAAAAAAAAAAAAAAACTTAAAAAAACATACTAGCAAGTAATACTAACATTATGATCATATGTTCACATTTATATAGCGCTTACCTTCAAGACACCCAAAGGGCATAATGAGTTGCATAAAGAAAATAGAAAAGGCATGTTTGAATGTGTTGCTTTTAGATGCTCTCAAATAAACCAGTACAGAAATGTAGACTCAGGTATTTCTGTTTATTCCTGAAGAAGCACATTGACCACAGTCTGGCAGTTCAAGACTCCCTCTGAGCTGCCTATTAGTGGTGCCAACACGTGGAAGCTCTTGGGAGCCTCATCTGCAGGAAAGAAAAAAAAAAATTCACTTTAGAGGCAGGTCCCAGTCCCAATAAAAGTTCAGACCCATTGTTCCTGTGACTTTTGCACTTTAACATTTGTTGAAGTGTTTTTCTGAGTGTGAGTAAAATACCTCTGGTCTGGCTCCATGTTAATGAATGCCGTGTTTGTGCATTCTCTCCTGAAACCCGGTGACTGGGCCTCTAGCCGCATTGCTATCAGCTACAAACTACTGTGGCTCTCCGTCCTTGTGCCAATTTCCCAGCATGCATTGCTCTAATTACAGAATGTGAAACTGCCACATCTCCTCAGGCTAGCAGACAACCACATATGCTGTAATCTCTGGCACAAACAGGCTTTTATGTGGTCACTTCAAAGAGACCACTCCCTGTATGATGTCCACAGGCACACGGGTCTGGCAGGTCCTCACCTCAGCGAGAGCTCAAATGTTCAGTTAATCTTCATATTATTCTTGTATTCTGAATATTGCACATGGAAATACCAATCTCAGAAAGTCTGTCAAACAAATGTATGTCATAGAACTCCCCTCTATGCAAAGTAACAAAGCAATAAAGAGTGGAAACATCCTCATCTTGTTTTTTAACACTAAATATTTTAGTACAGTTTATCTACAGTTGAGTTTACATTTTAATTTTTACTGTTGTTGTAAAAACAAACCAAAAAAAAAAACTTTTTCACTTAATGTGACTATTCGAGACTGGCTGACTGTGTAGCCTAAAATTATATCTTGTGGGGAAATATTTGCTCAGGACAACTCATGAGCAGGTGCTGCGTGTGAGAGAAAAGTCTGAATATTGCTCTTATCTTACTTTATTATACGACTGTTGCTAGGTGACATTCCCTGTGAGATGAGGCCCAGAGCATTCTGAAGTAGAGACTGACGGGGTCTATTGAACTTTAGCTCAGTGAGCAGTAGGTGCAGTCAGACTGACAGCCCAGACAGTTTCCGCTTTAGTTTATCTGATTTTTCAAATGTGTGCTCTTATGTATTGAGACTTGCTCATAACATGGTGATTATGCTTGTTATTTTGCATGTTAACGTCCTTGACCATAATTTCAAAATAATTCTCTTTCTCTTTTTTCTTTCAGCAAATCCAAAGAATGCACTTTTAATGCAGGTATGATCTATTCCAATTCCTATCACATAAAGGTTTTTTTATGGTGTAAGAATGTCTTACGTGACAACCTTCCTGCAATGTAATATTCAGTAGCAACGTATTGCAGCTATAAAATTGATTATTCTTTGTCCTAATATTTTGCTCCTGTCATGAAAGGATATAAAATGAATCACATGTTGCTGTTTTGTCTTTCATTAGAGGACAGCTATGTGCGGATGTTCTTGCGAGGCCGCCCTGTCACCATGCACATCCCAGATGATGAGAAAGAGAGCTACAGTCTGGACCACAAGGTGGTGCTGCCTGATCGCAAACTCAAGCTGCAGTGGGTGTATCCTTCAAAGAGGTGTAAGGCAGAGGTTATATGTTATATTTTTTGTTACTTTTTGCATAATTGTAGGATTGAAGGAGTTAATAATACATAACTTGTTATAATAAGAATATAGGCTATATTATTCCAATTTCATCTGGGACATTTTTCCTTAATCATGGAGCAGTTATGGCTATCGGGGGCGTGATTGCCGCTCAAACTTGTACTTGCTGCCTACAGGAGAGATTGTCTACTTCAATGCTTCTGTTGTGGTGCTGTACAACACTGAGGAGCAGCAGCAGAGGCATTACCTGGGGCACAATGATGACGTAAAATGGTGATTAAACTCATTGCAAGGTTTTATGGATGTATAATGTATTGATCCCATATCACATTATGCATTATGTGGGATTTAACTGTGACATAATAAGAATGATGGCACATAAAGGCAGACATAATGTGGACTCTTTTGCTAATGGGATAATTATATAACAGCATTTTTCTCCACTCTCTCTGGTGAGTTTATGTCTCACTATTGTTATGATGTATGGTTGTCTCCTTTCAGCTTAAGTGTGCATCCTGACATGGTAACCATAGCAACAGGACAAGTGGCTGGAAACACTAAAGATGGAAAGGTAAATTCATATGGACAATATATTTAGCATTTGTTTTTGAATGTTGTATTTATTAAAAATGTTAAAAATGTTTAATTCTTTACATAACATGTTTTTGTATAGTCTCTTCCTCCTCATGTTCGTGTGTGGGACTCTGTGAGCCTCAACACACTGCATGTTCTTGGGATGGGAGTTTTTGACCGTGCTGTCACCTGTGTGGCTTTCTCCAAATCAGTAAGCATATTCAGTTATTTGTTTTCACTTAAGCTTTTGGGTGGTGGCCTTGACAGTACCTTTTGCATTGTTTTCTTTCTTCAGAACGGTGGTGCTTTCTTGTGTGCTGTGGATGATGCCAACGATCATATTCTGTCTGTCTGGAACTGGCAGAAAGAGAAGCAGTTGGCTGATGTCAAGGTAAACTCAGCTGGTTTAAAAAAACTAATATTCTATTGTTAGTATTTCAAAATAAAGTAATGCAATCTTTGTGTAATTTTCTTCAGTGCTCCAATGATTCAGTATTGGGAGCTTTATTTCATCCAATGGACGCCAATTTGATTGTTACGTGTGGGAAATCTCACATCAACTTTTGGACCATGGAGGGCAGCACTCTTACTAAAAGACAAGGGCTGTTTGAGGCAAGCAGAAATATCAGCTGATGATATAAAAATCATCATATAATTCTGTATATGTTCTTTAGTAATATTGCAGTTTAAAGATCTTTTAATTTCAATATCTTTGGCATATTTTATTTTGCAGAAACATGATAAACCAAAGTACATACTTTGTGTGGCATTTGCTGAGAATGGAGATGCCATAACAGGAGACTCCAGTGGAAACATCTACATTTGGGCTAAAGGTAGAACTGTATAAAATCACACAATAATTCAAAAATACATTTATCTACAATAAATGAGTGAGCCTGTGCTTAATATTATTTGTGGTTATTTTTCAGGAGGTAACCGCATCAGCCAGGTGGTGTCTGGAGCCCATGAGGGGGGCATCTTCTCTTTGTGTGTGCTGAAGGATGGTACCCTAGTGTCTGGGGGAGGGAAGGACCGCAAGGTGGTTCTGTGGGACCATGACTACACAAAACAGTCTGAAATGGAGGCAAGATACAACTTTCTAGCACATAACACACATTGATGGTATTCAAAGCAACATTTTTACCAATACAATGTCTTTGGAGCAGGTGGGTGAAGCATTCGGCCCGGTCCGAGCAGTTGCTGAAGGAAAACAAGGGGAGCTCTTTGTTGGCACCACCAAAAACGCCATAATTAGAGCTGCTTTCCCTGACACATTAACTCCAATTGTACAGGTACTTTTGTAGCACCAAAAATTCTGGCATATAGAGATTACAGTCTATTACAGTAGACTAACCAGAATTTATGCTGGTTCACAGGGTCACACTGATGAACTGTGGGGTCTGGATGTCCACCCTTCTATGGAGCAGTTTGTGACCTGCTCCCAGGATAAGCATGTCCACCTGTGGGACACCAATACCCACCAGCCCATCTGGAGTAAAACCATTGAGGTTAGCTAGCTCAAGAGTTCATTGGTTCTGTTTGTTTACATCGTAACAAAACATTATATTTTCAACACAATAGGATCAAGGACGGTCTGCAGGCTTTCATCCCAGTGGTGCTGTTGTGGCTGTGGGGACCATGTCAGGAAGGTGAATATAATATGTATATACTATAGGGCAGGGGTGCCCAAACTTTTTTCATCAAGGCTCACATATCTAAACACAGACGAAGCAGAGGGCCGATCGAGGGCCGTAGACTGGTGCTCAGTACAGTGAATAATTGAAATTTGTGCATGTTTAACACGTTAGAATGAGCCATCAGTTTTTAATCATGCTAAGATCCTTAAAATATAAAATAAAAGATCCTAAATATTAAATATTAGCTTTATCAACATAGATTTTCAAAAAACTTGCAGGAAAAAAATATTTTTTAATTGATGCAAGGTAATTTGGGCCAATTCACCTGGAAGCCTGAGGGCCAAGAAAAATGTGTCTGAGGGCCACATTTGGTCCCCGGGCCATAGTTTGGACATGCCTGCTATAGGGCCTTTTGCCTGCATACTAGACATGCTAAATCTGAACAAGATATTCCTGGGTTTTGGCCTCCTTTTATGTGACCATTTTGAGCACATTTCTCCATTCAAAAGATATAATATATTTAGTTTTAAATTGTTAATTACTATGGCAATCATCCTAATTGCACATCATTCTGAAACCAATGGTGGTTTGCATTAAAATTACCCCATGAATAGCAAAACCATAACTCCTCTCTTTCAATGAAGGTGGTTGGTGCTGGACACTGACACCCGAGATCTTGTCTCGATGCACACAGACGGCAATGAGCTCATCTCCAATGTCAAGTATTCTCCAGGTAATCCTTATTGTTCAAACTGCACGTGCACTATTAGTTTTCATTCAGTTAAGACATTAAGTTAAGACATTAAGCCTGACCTCTTTGTGTTCTCAGATGGAAACTTTTTGGCTGTCGGCTCCCATGACAACTTTGTTTACATCTACACGGTGACAGAGGGTGGTAGGAAGTACAATCGTGTTGGTAAATGCACTGTATGTGTCAAACAAAAACATAATAGCTGTGACACATAATAGTGTTTAACAGTAGCCATATCATTTAATGTTTTCGTGTCTCAGGGTCATTCCAGTTTTGTAACTCACCTGGACTGGTCAACAGACAGTCAATACCTGGTCACCAACTCAGGAGACTATGAGATCCTCTTCTGTAAGTCTCATAACAGCACATTAAGTACATTTCTATAACTGTGAAATATATATTTGACTTGCTCTTTATTTCAAAATCAGGGGAAGCCCCCACTGGAAGACATGTGACCAACATGGATACTGTGCGTAACCTGCAGTGGGCCACATCCACCTGCACTCTGAGCTTCAACACCTTCGGTAAAATTTCTTAAATCTGATCATGACCTAACTGCAAATAAATGCTCAGGACATCAAAACATGTTTTTTTCAGAATGACATAGTTTTATATAAATAAAATCTATATAATTTGTTTTGCTTAGGTATTTGGCCTGATGGTGCAGATGGCACTGACATCAATGCTTCCTGTCGGTCACATGATAGATCTTTGCTGGCTTCTGCCGATGATTTTGGCAAAGTGCACTTGTTCTCCTTCCCCTGTTCACATCCAAGGGTCAGTTCTTCTATTGGTCTGGTACGTTATATTTCCAACAGAGACTAATTTCTCTCTTCACACCTCTTTAGGCTCCCAGCCACGAGTACAGTGGCCACAGCAGTCATGTGACCAATGTTGCCTTCCTGCACGACGACAGTCACCTCATTTCCACTGGCGGGAAAGACACCAGCATTCTCCAGTGGGTGGTGGCTTAGACTGAAACTCTTCTCTGCCCCTCCTCCTATCACTGTATCAGCCTCCAGACCAATGGAGCTCTCCACTGTGCCTATAGTAACTCACATTAGCTTGGATGGCCTGGGCTGATAAAGCATACTTGACAAATTTGCATTGCTTGGATATTAAATGCTTCAGCAGTATACAGCGCTGTCCTTATGCACATGACCATATACAGAACATATTGATTCAGACACAGTGTGCTGGTGATGGCTAAAGAGTGTTGTTAGTTTAAAAATATATCCTTGAATGTTCCTACACCTTTCAGTCTGTAATGTACGTTCCACCTGTGCCTATCCCAGACTAATTTAATGTCCCTTTAATTGGACTTCTACTGTTTTAAGCGACATGTGATTGTCATTTTAAGTGTTCATACTTATTATGAATGGAGCTGTTACGAATGTACACTGCTGAATTTCCTATTGTTATGTTAAGTTGATCACTGTACTAAAAGCATGAAAACATGAGTAAAAAAGGATAGACAGACATTTATGGCAAAACAACCATATGTAATCTGAATGCATGCTTGTTTGAGAAGCAAGACTGAATTGAAATAGATGGTACCCTTCAAAACCTTTCCAATAATCTGATGTTATTGTTTTAATTTGTATGTAGTCCATCAGTGGTACAATTGATGTTATTTCCATCATTGTTCTGAGCATCATGATTGAAACTACAGTGCTAAAGAGTGAGCATAACAGGGCCCTCTAATGTAGATGCTGTCCATATAACAAAGGTCTATAGAGTAAATACTATATGTAATACTATATATTTGAGTGGCTGTGTTATTTAACTAACTATGATGGATATTATTACTGTGGCACTTTTAGAAGTTGACTTATTTAAACATGCTGTAGAAGTTGGCTTGAGCTTCTGTTTTGTTAATAAAGTTTTTACTTGAGCACTAATGATTAAGTTGCATGTGTTCCTTTTAGACTGCAGAAAAATGTCATTTAGTAATAAAGACATACAAAGAGATTTTATGGTGTCTTTTATTCTGTATGAAATAAATAGTTTATTTTTTTTATATTGGGGACACAGCTTGTCCATCTAAAAACAGTATTTTGTAGCAAACGTTCAGGCTTAGGGCTTTTATTTAGTTCAAGTTTAGTCCTGACTAAAGGCTCTAGGTGAGTGTGCTCTCATCTGCAAGCCACCCCCTAGTGGAGGATGAAAAGCTTTGCACTCAGACCAATATAAAATGTCAGCAATAGAAAGGACTTTCAGCTGACTGCGGAGAAACCTCTACCAACAATTATTGTGGAACATGGCTTAAAGCAAATAGTGTTCACAGCTGTTTATTAATAACGTCTTTCAATTACTGATATTAAACAATGTTAACACCTGTTTCAGTGACCTCATGGAGAAGTGGCTCACACATTCAATCAGTAATTACGCAAAGGGCAGGTCTACACATTCTACATTTGTAAACATCCTCCTGACCTTGTTTTGTAACATTGTTATTCTCATGACTTTAATGTGTAGTTGTAGTACGATGGGGACATGTCAATTATCATTCAAATTAAATATAAACCTGGTTTACAGTGTAACTTATATTCAAAAATGGTAAATAGCATTTACAATGAAAATATAATATGCAAAATATGTTAAATGCATTTATAGTGGATCCAATTTAATGTTTTCATAAGTGATCAAATAAAATTGTAATTGTTTGCGATAGTCAGTGAGCCCTTTTACTTGATAGAAACCAAATAAAATAATATTACGAAATGCACAGACAGGTGTGATGACTTCCATAGTCATATCATAGGTATAATAAAGGTCTCAGTGTGGGAAATTACACATTTTTAAGTGAAACAAAATGCATTATGTTTTCTTATTCCTAAATTCTGATAAACCTTAGACCTTTAGAGATGCATATAGTTAGTAGTACACCACTTCAACATTGAATAATTTTGCATGGACTTTTTAAGTTAGAAGATACAGACAAAAACTACAACATTAAAATATTTGTTTATGCATTATTCAAGTGTAGTTATGTGTATAAGACCTGGTCTGTTTTTTCAGACACCTTTGTGACAGTCAGATCCTCCACCACAAACAGAATAAACTATGTAGAGCAGCATGCTTTTGAAAGAACACTCACACGACTAAAAAACAGACCCACACCATGCACACAGACACTCACACACGATTTGGCAAAATACTGATTTCAATACTCCCTCCATATGTGCCTCTTTCCTCCTCATCCTCCTCATCCTCTCAAACAGCAGGTTTTTGCTTTTCAGTTTTGAAATACATCAAAATGATGGCAACTCTGGCATTGTGAAAGCAAAGCATTAAAAGCACATCAGATTTTTTTTTTTATCATCATAACTGCTGTCCTCCTGTATTTTAACATAAGGCAGGAAGTACATATAATTTTCTCTGACCACCTATAGGCAGCAGTGTAGTAGTAGTAGTAGTAGTAGTGTGACAGTCACACCAGAGGGCAGCAGAGACTAAGACATCTACAAACTCGTGCCTCAAAATAGTGCTGACACCAGAAAAGCGCAACACAAATGCACCCACGTTGTGGATGTAAAGGCTCAATCCTTCAAATATTGCAGATCCTCAGTGCTGTTTCTCTTTGTACCTTTTTCCTCTTGTTTGAGAAGTGGCATTTGCTCAGGCCATGTAAATGAAGGTGTTAAGGTCTGACTCGTCTCTCTTTATGTACTTGTGCTCAATGAGCCATTCAATCTGCTCCTTGATCATCTTCTTTTGAGGTAGAAACATGTTTTTCAGGATCTCCACTAGCTCCGTCTGCAGCTGTGCATTACTGATCCTCTTTCTCATCTTCATTATTTGAATTATGGCCTCCTAAACAGGAAAAAAAAACATTTACGAGTTTCACCCACAAACTGTAAATGTAGTAACCCCAAGTTCCTAGTGTGCAGCATGTACCTGAGTTCGAAGGATTCTGAGCTGAACAATTCCCTCATTTTCTTCTTCTCTCATTCTCTCTGTTGTGAGTTGCAGTCGGCCAATAAGATTTATTTTCCCTCGCTTCTGGACTTTGTTGTTTTTTCTGTAGAGATTAAAAACTTTATGAAATGTATTAAAATGAGAAAGCACAGATCATTATGTTATAACCTAAGACATCCAACATACATGAGAGAGAAATCTTGGTTAACATAAAATATCGTGGCATCTGTGAAGTCTTTGGGTGAGTTGACTGGTGGATCATAAGACAGAACTTGTCTCTTCAGTTTGGGAAAAGAAACCAGCGACTACAGAAAAAACAAACAAATGTTTAACAAAGATAGACACATAATTACAGTGTTCACAGCCTAAACTAGGAATAAATGTGCTACAATAACCCAAAGTGTGCGACGTAGCTCTGCATCAGGAAGCTCTGTGGCCAATTTGAGGTTCTCAAAGCTGATCCTCTCTCTAGGCCGCTGGTTCCAGGCAAACAACACTGCCAACTGAAACGTAGTCACCTCCAAATCATACTGACCAACTTCATTTTTAAAAGTGATCTATGATAGACAAACATCCAACACATAAGTCATTTTGAAAGAATTATAGAAACAACTGTTTTCCTGTGCACTCACAATCCCATTAGACATGAGGTGATGCCAATGGAGTTTGCGACCACTGTGGTTCTTCTTATAGAAATCCTCCACTTCGGGAATCAGGTCCTCCAGTTCAGTCGGTAACGAGACAAAAACCTTCTCACTGCTCCGGGACCAAGCTCCAGCATTCAGGATCTTGATGTTCACACTATCCGCTGCAAAGAGTAGACCACAGTTCCTTTCAAACATCTTGCTCTTGTGACACTTCTTACTGTTTTTAAAGGTTGTCCTATGTTACCACTATGGTGGGAGGCCAACCCCCTGATTGCCTCTATGGTGATGTCACTGTCCCACAGTATGACATTAATCTAGCTGACATTAATATTTCGGAGCAATAGTGAAACATACTAGGTACTAAATATTTCCATTGAGACAGGCAGGTTGCAGACCCTCCAGAAAAGTTACTTAGTGCACCTTTAACTGTTATGGCTAGCCTCCCTTTAATGCATACTTATAACATCAATTCTCTTGTTAATCTTTGAAAATCAACTGATTTATGTACCTGGTAGAGCAAGCTTGTTGTGTTTGTGCACTTCTTTGAAGACCTGGTTCAGATCCTCCGATACTTTAATATCTTGAAACATTCGAGCTAGTTTATTGACGTAGTCAGCAGGCATCCCAACTTCCTGTAAATGTACAATGGCACACAGACAGTCAAATCAAACTGCAATATATGCCACAATCTAGATTATTTAAAAGTTGATATAAAATGCCAGTGCCAATGTGTATCTTACCCTTAGCCACTCTACCATGTTTTCTTCAATCTCACTATCTGCAGAAATGTCAAGGATCAAACGCCTTGTGAGGTGAGCTTTGTGGTATCGCATGAACACATCTTTGTTTTGGACATACTTTAACACCAATAGCTGCAATAGTAAAGATATTGAGCAAAATTAAAGCATGAATAGTATTAGTACATATACTGACTTTGACAGCAGAAAGCACTACACACCACTTCCTTAAGTTTAAGCTCGATCTCCTCCGAGGTGAGCTTCTTACTGAGTGGCGTTTTCCTCAGAAGCATGTCACAGTAGTTTGCCAACAGCTCGGGGCACTTAGATTCAGGTTGTGTCTTTGTTCCTACACTAAATTTATGAAAAGGAAAACACATTCATTATTAAACAAAATTACCACCTACCAACACCTACAGTCCTATATTATAAACCTATAATTAATATTATTATTCACTTACCCCTTCTGCTTCATTGGCAGCTCCAGTTTGAAGATTGTGGCATCATTAACAACAGCTTTGTAAGCCTGAAAAAATAAAATACAATTTAAATAAAATAAATGAGTAAGACAATTTAATATTACACAAATTAAAGGACTGTAACTAACCTTATCCCTGGCTGTGAGAAAGCGTGGATCATCCTGAAAGGCTTCCTTAACCAGTTTACTAAAGCAGTTAAATAAAGTCAGCAACTGCTCAACATATTTCTCTGAGTCCTGTACAAAGAGAGACATAGGAAAATGTGTTCTGTCTTCATGTGTTATTGTTTGTGTTACAAAGTTAGGGTTCATACAGTAGTGATAGTCTCAGCGGCAGCCACCATATCAGCTAAACCAGCACTGATAATGTGCTCTTCAAGATCCTTCAGCATGGGTTCAATCCCACTGGGTACTTTGTCCATCAAAGAAAACATAAGCTGCAGCTCTGTTGGACAAAAAATAAAATACAAAGGTTACACAAAAGGATTTGGAAATAAATAAAACATGTTTCTCAGAATAACATGACTCACTGTCTGTCTCATTGTGTTTGATCATTCCTGGGCAGTCAGCGAGGATTGTCTCTTTGAACAAAGTGACAAGTGCATTCACACAACATTCCATAAGCTAGCCAGAACAAAAACAACTTATTAAAAACACCTTTTGTAAGTAAGTAAAAACATATTTTGTAGGTAAGAAACGTACTGCTTGAACAGAGTTACATTCACGTCGTGTCTCTAGATATCTAAGTGCTCTCTTCTCCTCTTCTCTCAACTTTGCATCTGCCTGCAAAAAAACAATACAAAACATGACACTATGTAAATGTTTTCTTGTAGGAAAACATATAACCTTACAACACAATGTACATAAAATCTAGAGCACAATAAAGTCGAATGGATGAATACTTCCTTACATATTTCATGTAGTTTTGGACACCGTTCTGTTGCAGATATGAGGGGGCTTGTGTGCGGTAAAACCTCTCTGTTGAATCCAGATAGGCCTTTTCAAAATTGTCCCTGTAAATCTGCAGTTTGTCCTCTGGATTCGAACATAGGTTTACTAGACATAGACATGAAGGTGATGTTATGATGCTATTAGCCATATTAATTATAAACTGTGGC